CACCTGAGGGCTGGAATGCACACAGGCCACCAAGTGACTGAACTGGAAAGGAACACCAGTTTGACTGCACACATATCCAGTCCTACTTTTTAAAATAGAATGCTTTACATGACACTACTCAACTCCTGATGTGGCACTGTAGGATAAGCACTGGACTGCTAACTGCAAGGTCTTTGGTTCAAACCTACCAGCTGCTCCTAGGAAATTCTATACAGGGTCACTTTGAGTCAGAATCAACTTGAAGGCACTTAACAACAACAATGCCACTACAGTTACAAAGAGTTCCTTTTTCCTACAAAATACTGCGAAATCCCTCTCCTTTTAACTTAAGAAGTGACCAGGGAGTTAGACTTAGCCCACTCAAAGGAGATGAGATCAAGGTAAGGTGAGTAACAAGAACGCGGTGCGTATGACTCAGGGACCAGGAAGACAAGAAGATAGCTCCTGTGTTGTTGTTGTTGTTGTTGTTGTTGTGTGTTGTAGTGCAGTGTAGAAGGAGATTTTCTGATGAGAGAGGAGAATTTAGTAATGGAGGATCCTAGATGAGGAAATATCTAAAGATGTAAAATGGTATACATTTGGGAATCTCCAAGCATTTATCCGTCAGCTTTTAGCTGACTCTGGATTCCTAGGTGGAGACTAAGGGGGTGGGTAAAGAAAAAAGTGCATACTAGATCCTGGCTAGAAGGAGCCACATATTAATAGCAAGGCCCTTGATTACTAGAATTCAGGAACACAGGTGATTCACTGGAGTTAAACATCAAGCCAGAAAAGCAACTATGGCCAGAGTCTTCTATGGACTATGAGCTCTTTGAAGTGAAGAAATTGAAAAGCTGGTTAATCACTACTTACAACACATGATAAAAAATATATGTAAAAGGTTTATCATAGGTCTTTTATGTCAGTCCCTCACCTCTCTCCCAAGATCAACAAATAGGTGGTTATAGGTGGAAGCCCAGAGCACATTCTAATGTAGTCTATGCCCCAGAGTTAACAGATGAATGAATCAATCACATTCCCCAAGGTAATCTGAGGTGCAAGATTATTTGGAGACACAATTGCAAAATGGCATTTGTGCCTCCTGCATTGCTTTCCCATGTGGTTGTTGTTAAAGTGCCGTTAAGTCAATTCCCACTCATAGTGACCCTGCATAGGGTTTCTCAAGAGTAGCTGGTAGGTTTGAACCACTGACTTTATGGTTTACAGTCTAGTGCTTATCTATATTCTATATCTATGTCTATATCTATATTGTAAAGATTCTATTCACCAAATGCTATTTTGCTTTAGAGACCTTGACCACCTTGACAACTATGAACTATTTCTTCATAAATTATATTTTACAAGCAATAGCAATTAGAACTATCAAACAGGTGCATTTTAAACAGGTGTCAATGAAAATGCTAATGGTTTTAGGCAACACTGGTGTTCTAAAACTTTTGTTCAAACAAGTCCCAAGGCCTAAATATCAACACGGAACACCAATTAATTGGTAGCCTTGAAGAACCGGCACATCACTGTATCAACTCTCCTCTGTAGATACCACCTAAGGCTCTGTGGTTATAATACTGAACCTGAATTCAGCACAAAAACAATGCACTGGAAGGCCACATACCAAGATGATGGGACTATGTCTGCAAATAAACTTTCTTAACACTGAAATGTGATTTGGTATCATTTCCTGAGGGTGGCAAGGTAGTTAGTGCTATACCATGGAATACACCCACATGACTGCCTAAGTCTCTGAAAGGTATACCATCATAACAGGCCACAACTGGGCTTCAAATTAGAAATTACATTCCCTAAGAGCATTATTCTTTGGTTGGTTACATACATGTAGCTACAAGCACATATATTTTATACCATTATTCAAACTAGCTCTTCTTTTCATTTGGTTCTTCAGAAGAATCACTGCACTCATTAATACTGAACATGCTAATGTCTATCTTCCCATTTTTTTTCATTCCTGACCTATACTGGGTTGATCTGTGAAGTGTGTGTAATAATTCAAGCGTGAAGCTCCAGGCGATATAGCCTCTAAGCAGTGATCACGTCTCACCCTGGACAAATTACTGTAGCCACGAGTCAATCCATCTGAAATTGTGGAATGAGTCAATATTGAATGAACCTTATCCAAATTTCAACAGTCTTCCTTCTACCTTAATTCTCTATTTTACATGGATAGCATCACCATTCATGTTCTTATTATATGGATGAAGTACATTTTTATTATGATTCTTCAGTAAGTGTTATGTTTTCTTTTTAATTAATATTGAATAATTTGAAAAGAACATGTCTTTCCTGGAAATCTCCCTAGTAAAATGCATCCATTTCTTTCTCTAATGGGGTGCTTTCCCTGCCCATAAAACTTATTTGATTAGCAGTACTATAGAAGCTAGAGCTTTTGTATGCAGGCACTCAAGCATAATTTAATCATTTTATTTAAGCATGAAAAAAAATTATTCTGAAAGCCCTGTTAGGTAAAATATCCCTGATTAGTTTAAACGTACATTTGCAGGTATTTTAAAGGTGAAATAAATCACAGAATGCTCAGTATGCAATGTAATAGTGTTAACTTTGTTACAATAGCCGGCAGTTAAGTTAAAAACTGTAGCATTAGAAAATGTAAGGAATAACTATCTCATTTTAAATAAATGTATTTGAGCAGGCTATCTTAAAATGAATTTTGTTTTGTGCAAACCCTTTTCATGTGACCATGATTTTCACCTATGGAAGCCTCTCTTACAGTCAAACAAGGTCAAGCCCTTATTGCATAATGCCATTTATCTGCTGAGGATAAAAGTGCCAACAACTGAAATGCACATTAGGCAAGAGACTGTCAGAATAGAAAATTGGTTTTTTATTTTGGGTTTTTTTTTGGTTGTTGTTGTTGTTGTTTTGTTTTGTTTTGTTTTTAAATAACCCACTCACATTAACAAAAGACTGCAGTAGCTTCCAAATTATAGGGTGTTATTTTTAGTGGAAGTAGTTCAATATTCATATTGGAGCAGATGTAGCAGTTTAACAAAACAGCTCTTCAAATCCTGCACAAATTGAAAACAGGAAAACTGATTGCATTTGCTCTTATCACTTTCCTTTTCTGAATTGACACTTTTGGCCTTCTGAAAATTTACACATGGCTTTCATCTCAACAGCACCTGCTGATCAAATAGAAACCTAACATTTTCATGAAAATGGTATGAAGGACTAGCTTTATTTTAAATACTGTAAAAGCCATCAGTTGTCTGCTAGATGACAACAATTGCTGTGTATAGGGTATATTAATAACAGTTTACATTTTCACTAAACTTTTTAAAAAACATGCTAAGTTCATTCTGTATTTTTTCCATATTCACTTCTTTTTGGTTCATAGTGCTTTGGCTTAATGTGTTTTTAATACTTAGGATTGTTCTGCAAAGACTATAAAATGTGAAAAGAAGTACATTATCTTAAGTCAGCAAATACCTCTAATTTCCTTTGCCTATGCTTGGAATGCATCTATATATTCTATATATCTATATATTTATATAAATATCTGCACATGGGTATAACATATATACAGCCCATTTTTTGTTGTTATTTATAAAAACAGGCCCTATTTTTTTTTTTTAAAACAACTTTACGCATCTGCATCCTTTGATCAAGATATTGATTTAGCAGGTGCTTGGGTACCCCAGACTAAGAACAGATATCACCTAAGCAAAAACTAATACACATCTCATTGATATGACCTGCCACTTAACTGTAAATCCCTCTTGGAAAGTTAAGGGCAAATCCTGAAAATGGGTTTTCTTGTAAAATACGCAAGTTTGCTAGCTAGACTGCTTCACAAATAAATAAAAGTGCTTCACATATTTCTCTGCAATACCCAATCCTGGGTACAATTAAACACATGCTATTTGTCAGTTGCTTAGCCACAAGAACCCTATCCCTTCTAAAAGATTCCAAGCTGTCCATTCCCATTCTGCCTGGGTGATAAGGTAACCTGAAGGCAGAAATGACATACAGTAATATATGTGCCACTCTGGCCAGTTGGTCTGTGAATTTCAGTGTTCATCATGCTCACTGAGGCAACAGCAAACCTGAAATGTCAATATGTTCAGTCAATGGAAGTAAAATAATGGGACTCTATTGTCTTACCCAATCGATCTGCTGCTGTCAACAAGGAAACATGCCCCCCTGGCTTTAAACAAATTTTAATTAGGCTTTTAGTTACTGGATCCTAGCTATCTATCTATGAAAACACTTAGCTTGACAATGGGTAGCAGGCAAAACAATCAATTACTTGCACTTTTATTCATTTTAAGAACCTTCCAACGTTGATCCTATAATTTTTTGAAAAGCACTCGTCAATAAAACATATATACATATTTTAAATAACCAACTTCAAGCACAAAAATGTCATGGCTCAAATTCAAAATACAGATCTATCTAACAGACCCGGGCTGGTTAATTTTTCTCTAGACAAAGTTGAAATCATCCTATAAAATCAACTAATTCCATATTAAAAGTAGGCTTCTTTTCCTTTCCACACAAATGTAAACACCATTAACATCAATTCAAAATAAGTTACACTCAGTGCAAAACCAAGCACTGATGATCGATTCCAAAAGCCTCTACCCTCGTGGCTCAGTTCCTCAAACCTAAATCCAAGGGGGCAAAAGAAACTCTTGTTAAAATAAGGTCGGGGACTGGAGCTGAGAAGGAAAGGGGGTAGGGATGAAAAGGGGAAAAAAAAAAAAGACATTAAGTCATTCAAATGGCACCTAAGTTCTATGGTCCTTTCTTGCACAAAAAAGGTAGATAGTCTCACCTTAAATAAAAATAAAAATGAACTAAACTAATCAAGTTGTTAAACAGCCTTTTTTCTCCCTTCTTCATCTAAAGGCTTGAGCGTCCAGTCAATAAATAATCTATTGTTCCCCTTTATCGAGTCTCTTTAAAACCTATTCAGACTGGCAAAACTAAACCCAATTAAAGATAAGGCCCTCCGGTAATCTCACCTCCGTGAGTCCTGTCTGGATACCAGAGGTGATGGGAGATAGCGTCAAGGCCAGGACTGATGCCTCCTTCTCACCCCGCACAACAAAAGGCAGATTTCTCTTTCTCCCACTGCTAATCTTTAAATGTAAATTCTCTCCGCCAGCTAAGAGGAGCGACAGATAACATGTTACATCTTCACTTCTCCTGGTCTTATCGACTTCTGAATCATTTGGAAAGGGAGAGAAGGAAAGAGAAAAGCTGCCTCCCCACGCTCCCCCCTCCTCCTTCCACTCCTCCTTCCTCCCTGCCTGCTCGCCCACCTCCCCTCCCCTGTTCACGGAGATTACCTTCTGGCAAAGGAGCGCAGGAGAGGCGGCCGCAGCCGAGGCGGCACCCAGACCACGGCTTTGTATTCATTAAACACACATCGGAGCTTATCAGAAGTAAAAGGCTTGTCAGGATGGCACATTGTGTGTGAGTAAGTGTGTGAGCGCAGGAGGGAGAGGAGAGGAGCCAACGTGCATCAGGGTGATTACAATATCAGCAGGGCCCAGATGGAGGCAGGAAAATAAACAGAGGGTGCGTGTGAGACAGAGCGGGAGAGAGAGGAAAAGTGGGAGAGAGGGAAGAGACACAGGCAGGAGGCAGGAGACCGAAAGGGATGGCGAAGGATGGAGAGGGCGGGGGGGGTTAAGGCTACAAGATGTGGGTGCCAACCACAAGGTTGGTGGAGGGTTAGGGCCAGGGCCAGGGCCAGGGGTCACCTGCATCTCCAAATCTGTACCCCATCCTTAGCAAAAAGGGAGCACGTCAGACTGTATTTCCCCACACCTGGGCTAGATTTTAACCACTCTGCAGGTTCTCTCAAGATCAGAAGAGGATTAAGAGTTCCCATTGGGCAGAGCATAACAATGACATTTTCACCACCTCACCTCCATCCAAATAGCCACAATTTGCAAAACAAGTGAGTCCAGACAGACCTTCTGCAGGAGTTCTAACCTCTCTCTGAACTGACCCCAGTACTTCTAAAGCTCCCCTCAAAACACACACACACACACACACACAAATGGACCAAGCAGGTAACAAATACTTCCTTTCCCTGGGCTTTAGTGCGTCCCAGTAGACGACTTGTACAGCCAGCATCATTGTGAAAAGGAGGCCTGCTTGCGATTGGTAGCTACAGGTGACTCTTAGACACCTGCTCCACCTCCAGAAATCCTGTGGGGGAGGGGGTTCTTGATGTATCTATCGGAGAGTTTATTTGGGATGTGGGAGTTTGAAACTGAGGCATTCAATCTGGGCTTGAACTGCCTCATAGCTTTTCACCCACTGGGTGCCAGAGAATAAGCAGGGGCGAAAGCTCATCCATCCAACACACCAGAGCCCACCCTCCCGTCAGGGGCAGGAAGGAGATACACCTGAGTAGTCCCTTGGGTTCCCCTTTTTCACTTTTAAATGTACCCATCAGACCTTCTGAACATATGATCAGATCCTTAATGGAGTGCAGATAACGCAGTAAAGGAAGGTATTTTAATGGAGGAGGGGAAATATTTGGTTGATTTGTGTTTTGAGGCACTAAAGCTTGCTTGGTTAAGAAACTCTCACTGCAGAATGAATAGTGAGTTCAGAATGGAGTGGCCAATAAACGATGTAATTTTTCACGGCGTACACTGTAGCCCAGCTGCTGTGAAACTTGTGGTTATAAAATACTTTATGCATGGGGTGCTAATATAAAATGCCAAAATTGTCAGGGGAAAGGGGTAATCCTAGTGAGCAGAGAAAAACTGAAAAGCAAGAGAACTAGCTGCTGCCTTTTAAAGAGACAAATTTTAATAAGTCCTTTAGATAATTAGGAGAGGCTTTGTTTATTCCAGCACTCCCCTCCAAATTACTTAGCCAGCAAAACAAAACCAAAAAAAAGGCTTTATATGTAGTGGGCCATCCCACAACGTCACACTCCCACCAAAAGAAAAGAATGAAGGGAAATGTGATAGGCAATGCCAAATGAAAAAGCTGGGCTTGGTGGGGGATGGGCACGTGTGAAAATCCTGTCATGCAATGAGTACCACAGCCCTCCAGTGATCCAGACATAGGAAACACCTCTTGGTATCACTGAGATGAGAACGAGGGGCTATTTTTCCATAAATCTTCAAAAGGTTCAAAAGTTAGAGAAGGGTACAAAGATAGGAAGTTACCCCTTTGGCTAACTGTGTTACAAAACTGAGTAAGATCTAAATGGGTGGAAATCTGTCATTATTACATGTTTTCAATTCAATAGCTGATTTCTGGAGTACCATTTTAGCTAACATAAAAATCACCTTTCACCTCTCCTCTAGCTGTTATAGAAAACAGCCAGCAGAGTAACCAAGAGGAACTACAGATACCTTCCCCTTTACTACCACCCCAATAAGTCCCACTTGAGCTAAATCAGGTTGAACACAATGTACAAACATTTACAGATCCAACACGACTCTAGGAAAAAATAAGGCATTTTACAAATGCCCACTGCTTTTTTTTCTGTTACATGCTCTTCCAAGAAGCATAAGAACAATGCACTGGTACTGTTTTCTAACTCAAAAGACTTGCATTTTTCTTTAAAAGGTGTTCCAAATATTGAAGGTACAAAGAAAACCACACATAAGCTAATCTGTTAGTGTTCTTATTTTGCAAAGGCACAGGATTTCTATTACTACCTTGTTTGTTCATTGACTTTTGGCTCACAGTTATAGAAAAGATCAACCCATTCTCAAATGGGAAGAATCCATGACATTCCAAAGCAAGCACTTTACTACAAAGCTTTCAATTAAAATAAAAAATAAAGCAATACAATAATCAAGAAGTATAATCACAGAATAAATGTATAACAGAAAGTGGTTTCTATAATCACAGCTGTCTCAAAGTCCAGGCTGCAGACGAGAAATCTTAATTTCAACTAGTTCTTTTCTTAATAATAGGTTACCTCCTATAAAAGCAAGAAGTCCATCTGCCCCAGGCAGATAAGTTTTGAAGCATTAATTCAGATAAAAATCTAGCATTTTCTTTCTTTGAGTATGTGAATTGTAGTGTGCTATAATGTGAGAATTCCAACATATGACCATTATGGCATAATATCTCATTGCTCAGCTTGTCATTATTTCATTTGTAATTCTTATGTTAATTATGTTCATAATTACTATAAACAGATGTGGTAGACATTCATGTGACCTTTTATTGCAGAATGCATTCCTCACTGGTTTCCATTTAATTTCTCATGTATCTGAAATTGAAATGCAGAAAAAAAAAAGGAAAAAAGGCTTTCTGATTTTTTAATGTTTTATATGCATAAGTTAAAATAGTATCTACCCTCTTGTACTACATCTGCATTTTAGAATATTAGATTATTATTAACATTTAAGCTGCTTTCAAGCACATTTTTAAATTGCACTGTGAACCTCACTGCTGCTCACTAAATTGTAGTTATGGATGCCAAACAAAGGCTAGCATCCCTTTCTTAAATTGTTTGTCTTTTTTTCTAAATAATAAAGGTTAACACAGCAGAATCCTGATTAAAAATGAAGTGCCTAGCAGCCACATAGCGATTTATTCACTCATAACTCAACCATCAACCCTCTCTACATAAAACACATTTACAATAAAATCAGTATGGATTTCATTAGTTGAAAACCTCCTTGAATTTCATTTCTTTGGCCCTAATCTATAATTAGTGTGGACAGACAGGTGCAAACCCTTCTCTTCTACAGATGGCTACTGGAAATGGTGCAAAGTAACTCCTTCTGTTTAAACAACACAGAGAAAACTGCTCTGTCTTATCACTTACAATTACCTCCATTAAAACTGAACTAATGTTTGTTTTCATAAAATGTTCACTGTTCTTTAAACATTATTTAGGAACTCTTATATTATTGACTGTGAAAAAGTGAAGTTGAAAATGAAGTCTCTTTAGATAATAATAATAAAGAATTTACTCTGGGTAAAATGTTTCGTGGATGGATAATACTGATATTCACAAAGGTGTTTTAGTTGATAAAACATTTTTTAGTTTTTTTTTTTCCATAAATAAGGTTCAATATTATATTTTTAAAGGTATTTAAGTGAAAATGTAATTTATTAAGAGGAATTAGAGGAAGATTAACATTTAAGTTTAGAAATATGAAGGGTTTAATTTTTTTCTCTTTATAAAATTGGGTAATGAAGTATAAAATTTCTAAAGTCCAGATTAGTTTATGCATTTGTTTAACTTCTGGTAGATTCTTCTGAAAGGTGACAGAGTTCAAGGTGGCATAAAAATCATAATTTTAAGGCCCATTTCAGAAAAATAATTAGACATTTAAGTGAAAGGCTGCAAACATAAGTTAAAAACAACTTCCATCCTTTAATAAATGTCTTCTATGAAGCCAGAGCTCACTTCTCCTTGCTTGTGCTATCAATAAAGCCTGTGGATCACTAGATGATGAATAAAGTACCTACAAAACAAAGAACTTTTAAATGTTCAAACAGCAACAAATAGCCTTTCTCAGTGAACTTCCATAACTTACAGTAATGTTGTTGTTGTTGTTAAGTGCCATCGAGTCGGTTCCGACCCATAGCGACCCTGTACAGGGTTTCTGAGGGTGTAAATCTTTACGGGAGTAGAAAGCCTCATTTTCTCCCACGGGGCGGCTGGTAGTTTCGAACCGCTGACCTTAAGGTTCGCAGCCCGATTCGTAACCACTACGCTACAGAACTCCTTTAACTTAACTTACAGTAATAGACTCCAGCAAAATGCAACTGACACAATTTTTTTCACATGCTAATCTTGCAGGTGCCAATTTTTCAGACTGCTTTGCTATGAAGGGCTACATTGCCTGCATAAAACCTCAATGAAGAAGGCTTTGCATTCAGTGCCTGTCAGCTGATGTTCATATCAAAGAACTGAGAACAGGATTTGACAGTAAAGAATGTCCTAAACTGACAACCACTGACCAGCATTCCTATTGGAAACATTTTTTTCTGGTGCTCCCTTTTCAGTATTTAGGGGGGTAAAGTGGGGACTTGGGAAACTTATCTTCTTTTTACAGTAAAATAACTCATAATAACACCTTGCATTTATGTAGTTCTTTGTAATTTATGAAGTGCTCTTTATCTGCAACTACCATCCATGGGAGTGCTCGGTATTAAACACCAGCAATAGTTTACTTCTCTCAGAAAGAGAAAATCATAAACACATTTTAAATGCAATAGTCATAATCCTGGAACTGAAATACATACTGTCTTGCTAGCCTCAACAACTTGCCATTTAATAACTGGCATTGCATTGTAAATAACATGCTCCTCACTAGGGTCTTTAAAGATCATTTTTATATCAAATTTATTACCAAGTATTATTGGGACACAGAGACTAAGTCCACGAAGAAAAATATCATTTCAAAGACTTCTGGTGTGCTTTGAGTTGACCGAACATTAAAGAAAGAAAGACAGACAGACAGACAG